ACTGCTGCTGACCTTGGAACACTGCTGCTGACCTTGGAACACAACTGATAACCTTGGAACACTGCTGCTGACCTTGGAATACTGCTGCTGACCTTGGAACACTGCTGCTCACCTAGGGACACTGCTGCTCACCTTGGAACACTACTGCTCACCTTGGAACACTGCTGCTCACCTTGGAACACTGCTGCTCACCTTTTAACACTCCTGCTGACCTTGGAACACTGCAGCCCACCGTGGAACACTACTGCTCATCTTGGAACGCTGCTGCTCACCTTGGAACACTATTCGCCTTCTTGGAACACTACTACTGACCTTGGAACACTGCAGCTCACCTTGGAACACTGCTGCTGACCGTGGAACACTGCTGCTGACCATGGAACACTACTGCTGACCTTGGAACACTGCTGCTGACCTTGGAACACTGCCGCTGACCTTGGAACATTGCTGCTGACCTTGGAACACTACTGCTGACCTTGGAACACTGCTGCTGACCTTGGAACACTGCCGCTGACCTTGGAACACTGCTGCTGACCTTGGAACACTACTGCTGACCTTGGAACACTGCTGCTGACCTTGGAACACTGCTGCTGACCTTGGAACGCTGCTGCTCACCTTGGAACACTGCTGCTCACCTTGGATCACTGCTGCTGACCTTGGAACACTGCTGCTCACCTTGGAACACTCCTGCTGACCTTGGAACACTGCTGCTGACCTTGGAACACTGCTGCTGACCTTGGAACACTACTGCTCACCTTGGAACACTGCTGCTGACCTTGGAACACTGCTGCTCACCTTGGAACACTCCTGCTGACCTTGGAACACTGCTGCTGACCTTGGAACACTACTGCTCACCTTGGAACACTGCTGCTGATCTTGGAACACTGCTGCTCACCTTGGATCACTGCTCCTGACCTAGGAACACTGCTGCTGACCTTGGAACACTGCTGCTGACCTTGGAACACTGCTGCTGACCTTGGAACACTGCTGCTGACCTTGGAACACTGCTGCTGACCTTGAAACAATGCCGCTGACCTTGGAACACTGCTGCTGACCTTGGAACACTGCTGCTGACCTTGGAATACTGCTGCTGTCCTTGGAACACTGCCGCTGACCTTGGAACACTCCTGCTGACCTTGAAACACTGCTGCTGACCTTGGAACACTGCTGCTCACCTTGGAACACTGCTGCTCACCTTGGAACACTGCTGCTCACCTTGGAACACTTCTGGCCACCTTGGAACACTGCTGTTCACCTTGGAACATTACTGCTGACCTTGGAACACTCCTGCTCACCTTGGAACACTACTGCTGACCTTGGAACACTCCTGCTCACCTTGGAACACTACTGCTGACCTTGGAACACAACTGATAACCTTGAAACACTGCTGCTGACCTTGGAACACTGCTGCTGACCTTGGAACACTACTGCTCACCTTGGAACACTGCTGCTCACCTTGGAACACTACTGCTCACCTTGGAACACTGCTGCTCACCTTTTAACACTCCTGCTGACCTTGGAACACTGCTGCCCACCTTGGAACACTACTGCTCATCTTGGAACGCTGCTGCTCACCTTGGAACACTATTGGCCTTCTTGGAACACTACTGCTGACCTTGGAACACTGCAGCTCACCTTGGAACACTGCTGCTGACCTTGGAACACTGCTGCTGACCATGGAACACTACTGCTGACCTTGGAACACTGCTGCTGACTTTGGAACACTGCCGCTGACCTTGGAACACTACTGCTGACCTTGGAACACTACTGCTGACCTTGGAACACTGCTGCTGCCCTTGGAACACTGCTGCCGACCTTGGAACGCTGCTGCTCACCTTGGAACACTGCTGCTCACCTTGGATCACTGCTGCTGACCTTGGAACACTGCTGCTCACCTTGGAACACTCCTGCTGACCTTGGAACACTGCTGCTGACCTTGGAACACTGCTGCTGACCTTGGAACACTACTGCTCACCTTGGAACACTGCTGCTGACCTTGGAACACTGCTGCTCACCTTGGAACACTCCTGCTGACCTTGGAACACTGCTGCTGACCTTGGAACACTGCTGCTGACCTTGGAACACTGCTGCTGACCTTGGAACACTGCTGCTGACCTTGGAACACTGCTGCTGACCTTGGAACACTGCTGCTGACCTTGAAACAATGCCGCTGACCTTGGAACACTGCTGCTGACCTTGGAATACTGCTGCTGTCCTTGGAACACTGCCGCTGACCTTGGAACACTCCTGCTGACCTTGGAACACTGCTGCTGACCTTGGAACACTGCTGCTCACCTTGGAACACTGCTGCTCACCTTGGAACACTGCTGCTCACCTTGGAACACTACTGGCCACCTTGGAACACTGCTGTTCACCTTGGAACACTACTGCTGACCTTGGAACACTCCTGCTCACCTTGGAACACTACTGCTGACCTTGGAACACTCCTGCTCACCTTGGAACACTACTGCTGACCTTGGAACACAACTGATAACCTTGAAACACTGCTGCTGACCTTGGAACACTGCTGCTGACCTTGGAACACAACTGATAACCTTGGAACGCTGCTGCTGACCTTGGAACACTGCTGCTGACCTTGGAACACTGCTGGCCACCTTGGAACACTGTGCTGCTCACCTTGGAACACAACTGCTGACCTTGGAACACTCCTGGCCACCTTGGAACACTGTGCTGCTCACCTTGGAACACTACTGCTGACCTTGGAACACTCCTGCTCACCTTGGAACACTACTGCTGACCTTGGAACACAAATGATAACCTTGAAACACTGCTGCTGACCTTGGAACACTGCTGCTGACCTTGGAACACTGCTGCTGACCTTGGAACACAACTGATAACCTTGGAACACTGCTGCTGAGCTTGGAATACTGCTGCTGACCTTGGAACACTGCTGCTCACCTTGGGACACTGCTGCTCACCTTGGAACACTACTGCTGACCTTGGAACACTGCTGCTCACCTTGGAACACTGCTGCTCACCTTTTAACACTCCTTCTGACCTTGGAACACTGCTGCTCACCTTGGAACACTACTGCTCATCTTGGAAAACTGCTGCTCACCTTGGAACACTGCAGCTCACCTAGGAACACTGCTGCTGACCTTGGAACACTGCTGCTGACCTTGGAACACTGCTGCTCACCTTGGAACACTGCTGCTCACCTTGGAACACTGCTGCTGACCTTGGAACATTGCTGCTGACCTTGGAACACTCCTGCTGACCTTGGAACACTGCTGCTGACCTTGGAACACTCCTGCTGTCCTTGGAACACTGCTGCTAACCTTGGAACACTCCTGCTGACCTTGGAACACTGCTGCTGACCTTGGAACACTGCTGCTCACCTTGGAACACAACTGATAACCTTGGAACGCTGCTGCTGACCTTGGAACACTGCTGCTGACCTTGGAACACTGCTGGCCACCTTGGAACACTGTGCTGCTCACCTTGGAACACAACTGCTCACCTTGGAACACTACTGGCCACCTTGGAACACTGCTGCTCACCTTGGAACACTACTGCTAACCTTGAAACACTGCTGCTGACCTTGGAACACTGCTGCTGACCTTGGAACACAACTGATAACCTTGGAACACTGCTGCTGACCTTGGAACACTGCTGCTGACCTTGGAACACTGCTGCTCACCTTGGAACACTACTGGCCACCTTGGAACACTGTGCTGCTCACCTTGGAACACTACTGCTGACCTTGGAACACTCCTGCTCACCTTGGAACACTACTGCTGACCTTGGAACACAACTGATAACCTTGAAACAATGCTGCTGACCTTGGAACACTGCTGCTGACCTTGGAACACTGCTGCTCACCTTGGAACACAACTGATAACCTTGGAACACTGCTGCTGACCTTGGAACACAACTGATAACCTTGGAACACTACTGCTGACCTTGGAACACAACTGATAACCTTGAAACACTGCTGCTGACCTTGGAACACTGCTGGCCACCTTGGAACACTGCTGCTCACCTTGGAACACAACTGATAACCTTGGAACACTACTGCTGACCTTGGAACACAACTGATAACCTTGAAACACTGCTGCTGACCTTGGAACACTGCTGCTGACCTTGAAACACAACTGATAACCTTGGAACACTGCTGCTGACCTTGGAATACTGCTGCTAACCTTGGAACACTGCTGCTCACCTTGGGACACTGCTGCTCACCTTGGAACACTACTGCTGACCTTGGAACACTGCTGCTCACCTTGGAACACTGCTGCTCACCTTGGAACACTGCTGCTGACCTTGGAACACTGCTGCTCACCTTGGAACACTGCTGCTCACCTTTTAACACTCCTTCTGACCTTGGAACACTGCTGCTCACCTTGGAACACTACTGCTCATCTTGGAAAACTGCTGCTCACCTTGGAACACTGAGGATCACCTTGGAACACTGCTGCTGACCTTGGAACACTGCTGCTGACCTTGGAACACTGCTGCTCACCTTGGAACACTGCTGCTCACCTTGGAACACTGCTGCTGACCTTGGAACACTCCTGCTGACCTTGGAACATTGCTGCTGACCTTGGAACACTGCCGCTGACCTTGGAACACTCCTGCTGACCTTGGAACACTGCTGCTGACCTTGGAACACTCCTGCTGACCTTGGAACACTGCTGCTGACCTTGGAACACTGCTGCTCACCTTGGAACACTGCTGCTGACCTTGGAACACTACTGCTCACCTTGGAACACTGCTGCTCACCTTGGAACACTCCTGCTCACCTTGGAACACTGCTGCCCACCTTGGAACACTACTGGCCACCTTGGAACACTCTTGCTGACCTTGGAACACTGCTGCTGACCTTGGAACACTGCTGCTCACCTTAGAACACTGCTGCTGACCTTGGAACACTGCTGCTGACCTTGGAACACTGCTGCTGACCTTGGAACACTACTGCCTACCTTGGAACACTGCTGCTCACCTTGGAACACTACTGGCCACCTTGGAACACTGCTGCTCACCTTGGAACACTCGGTCTCGTCGCTGCCGTCGTCACAGTCCACTTCGCCGTCACACCGCCAGTCAGAGGGCAGACAGGTGAGTGTGGCCTCACACAGGAACTGGTCGCCCACACAGGGGCTCTGAGGAAGGCACCAACACTCTCATACACTCTTGGCTCTCAACCAACCAGTTGTTTAATCACTGCTTTACCAATTATTACCAATGTATATTTTTGAGAAAAACATAATTATAATTTATATTAATATTTATAATTATTATTATGTAGATAACAAAGGATATAAGGTGGCGAAAATTTCCAGCTATATATGCAGGTTTTCCTGAGGGCCACTAATACTAGTGGCCTCGACGAGGACAGGAAGCCGGCGGCTTGACAAGAGCCCCCCAATTTGCCCTGATTAATTTTTCAGGCTGGATTTTAAAGTTCAACAGACTTTTGTTTGCTTTATGGCTTCGGCGTGTAGGCGGTTCCGTGGATTTATAACCCTATGATGAAAAAAATCTCCTGTATTTAGTCCTACAATGTAGCTTCTTCAACTGGAAACTGTTGCTCTTTGTTTGAAGTACATCTGACCTCTTGAAGTAGCTGTCTGGATCAACATCCGCCAAACTGTTAAGAATTTTAAGTTTCGATGCGATCCGTCCTATCATGCCTGGCATGCAGTGTTGTTAAACAATGTGGCCCTAAACCTGTCCTGGTATGAAAGTTGACTTAGCCCGGGAATGATTTTTGTTGCCCGGTGTTGAACTTTCTCCAAGGAAGCAGTGTCTTTCTGAGGATGTGACCTTTATGCTTGGATCAATAATCCAGGCGGGGGCGCCCCAGAGAATTATTTAATTAAATACACCGTCTGAGACACCCTACAGTGTACGTCATCATCTGAGACACCCTACAGTGTACGTCATCATCTGAGACACCCTACAGTGTACGTCATCATCTGAGACACCCTACAGTGTACGTCATCATCTGAGACACCCTACAGTGTACGTCATCATCTGAGACACCCTACAGTGTACGTCATCATCTGAGACACCCTACAGTGTACGTGGGAGGCACTTATAATAACTCATGTACTCAAGCAGGTACATATAACAACTCATCTACTCAGGCAGGTACATATACCAACTCATCTACTCAAGCAGGTACATATAACAACTCATGTACTCAGGCAGGTACATATAACAACTCATCTACTCAAGCAGGTACAAATACCAACTCATCTACTCAAGCAGGTACATATAATAACTCATGTACTCAAGCAGGTACATATAACAACTCATCTACTCAAGCAGGTACATATAACAACTCATCTACTCAAGCAGGTACATATACAAACTCATCTACTCAAGCAGGTACATATAACAACTCATCTACTCAGGCAGGTACATATACCAACTCATCTACTCAAGCAGGTACATATAATAACTCATGTACTCAGGCAGGTACATATAACAACTCATCTACTCAAGCAGGTACATATAACAACTCATCTACTCAGGCAGGTACATATACCAACTCATCTACTCAAGCAGGTACATATAACAAGTCATGTGCTCAGGCAGGTACATATAACAAGTCATGTACTCAGGTAGGTACATATAACAACTCATGTACTCAGGCAGGTACATATAACAACTCATGTACTCAGGTAGGTACATATAACAACTCATGTACTCAGGCAGGTACATATAACAACTCATGTACTCAGGTAGGTACATATAACAACTCATGTACTCAGGCAGGTACATATAACAACTCATGTACTCGGGCAGCTATTTATAAGAACACATATAACGACGGATGTTTACCAACATTATTTATGGACAATATAAATTTGCAAGTTCTTTCCTGTTCATCACTCTAAGTCGGCAATATGATTTAAGAAATAATGTGACTGAACTCTGACTTTCTTATTTCAAACTCATACGCTTCAGGATTGTTTATGAATATCTGCTTCTAATGGAGATGGAATTTTTATGGCATTTTATATGATTATAAATGATTATAAAAATATGAATAGAAGGTTTTGCCTTGAATTACTACGTTACATTTTTTTCCTTGCCCACATTATTATATAATATACACCCAGGTATTTGTATAAGGTTCTTTTTGTTTTCTATATAAATAAAAATGGAAATGTTCGTTTGTGCTTAACCGCTGATCTCCGAAAGTTCTTTACCGATTGCTTTGAAATTTTAACACAACGTTCAATTCGAACAGGCGCATCTTTTTATATACCTACTATATAGATGCCACCCCTGTGACAGGTAAACGCATGCGTTTTTTAAAAAACAGTGCCATCTGTTGCACATAATAGCACCATACACGCTATAATAAATATGTCACGAATTCCATTTCAATGTTTCTGATTGCATTGATAAATTTTATTTCATACATTTCGATTTCTTTTTATTTTTTATTAGATTATTTTGTGTGACATTGTGTTGGAATTGAGCTGTGTTGTTTACCATTCCATTCATTTCGTGAGTATAAGTATAGAAGCCACACGTGTGACAGGTAAAACTATGCTTTTCTTGAAAAACAGCGCCATCTGTTGCATGTAAGAGGAACACACATGCTATACTAAATATGTTACAATTCCATTTCAATGTTTTTGATTGCATTGATAAATGGAATTTTCATAAATTTTGATTTATTTTCATTTTTATTTAATTATTTTGTGTGAATTGCATTGGAATTGAGCTGTGTTGTTTACCATCCCGTTTATTTTGTGAGTATAGTTTATTTTTTTATTTTTTTCATATTTTCATTTCATTTTTTAACTGTTTTTCTTATATTTCAGTGATGGGAACATCAGTTCCCAATTTTGTAATGGGAACATCAGACCATTTGGGAAGGCATCGGACGAGGGAGTGGAGAATGGTGGGGATGATGATGGGACGGAAGTGAGAGATGTAGGGAGGACGAGGTGACAAGGGAGGGGGTAATGGTGGGGAAGGATGAGGGAACGGGGGAGTTTGGGATGGTGACGGCGAGGGGATGGGGAATGGAGAATGGTGGGGAGGACAAAGGGACAGGGGAGTGGGACATGCTGAAAAGGAAGAGGGGATGGTGGAGTGGGGAATGGTGGGGAGGTCGAGGAGACGGGTGAGAGGGGAATGATTGGGAGGACTGGCGTACAGGGAAGGTTGCTGTGGTTCAGCACAGCAATGCGTGGCCGGGTACTGCTAGTATGTAATATGACGTCAACATGTTTTCTTCTATTGTGATAAGTGTTTGTGCGTCTTACCAATTAATGTACACGCGAGTGTGACTTACACTTGACTGCCCATAACTGTACTTAAAGTATATGAAATAGGATCCAGTTCATTATTTAATGAGCTTGTAACACTGTTATTAGGTAAGTTTATGAAGAAACAGAACACATTGAACATTACCTTTGATGGAGGAGTGGACGGTGTTGCTGTAGTTACAGTGGTCGATGTGACAGAACAGTTCTCCTCGTCACTGCCGTCTACACAGTCTGCCTCTGTGTCACACACCCAAATCACAGGGATACATCGTTTGTCTGACCGACACGTGAACGTTCCCTCTCGACACTCAGCCTGTTAACAGGTGAAACTCTGTTTAGGTACTTTAAATATTGAATCAGTCAGCAAGTTGATCAATACCTAAATTAATTAGAGCATGAAACAAAATGTCATGATTATACCCGGAAGAAGAGTCTGTGTTAACTAGCTTCTGGAAGGACTCGAAATAATTGTTGTTATTAAGAAAATGTTTAATATATATCATCGCTTGTAGAATCCCGCTAGACTAAGCCAACCAAAAATATTATGTAATATTATGGCCAAAATGCAGAAAAGAACTTTGCCAATACATTCTAGGTTAACACTCCCCTCCCTCAGACTCAACACACCGAAAATAATTATGTTTATCTTAATACTTTTCCTAACTTAACCTATGCCACGTACACATTCTATAAATGCATTTCCTTGACATAATCTTCTTAGTCTTACAACAGAGTCCATCCTCATCTCGCATTCAGTACAGAGTTCATCCTCTTCTAACATTCACTACAGAGTCCATCCTCATCTCGCATTCACTAAAGAGTCCATCCTCATCTAACATTCACCACAGAGTCCATCCTCTTCTAACATTCACTACAGAGTCCATCCATATTTAACATTCACCACAGAGTCCATCCTCATCTAACATTCACCACAGAGTCCATCCTCATATAACATTCACTACAGAGTCCATCCTCTTATAACATTCACTACAGAGTCCATCCTCATCTAACATTCACTACAGAGTCCATCCTCTTATAACATTCACTACAGAGTTCATCCTCTTATAACATTCACTACAGAGTCCATCCATATTTAACATTCACTACAGAGTCTCTCCTCCTATAACATTCAGTACAGAGTCCATCCTCATCTCATATCGTTGTAACAACTGAAGCTGTTTTAAAAATAAGTAATTGTATGGGAGACAGTGGGATACGCCTTTGTACAACAGTGAGAGTCACGTTGTAGTTTGACCTGACCCAAGCACGGGGCATCCCCTGGGACTGGCGGTTGAAATACAAAATGGCCGCCACCTTTGTCTTAAAGCAACGTATAATGAATTATTTTACAGAATTCAGTAATTTAGAGAAATTAGTCGTCATTCATATTGTATTCAATAGTATTCCTGTTTAAAGTATCAAGAGTATCCTAAATTGTCAGAATACTTTAGTAAGTTACCATTAGTGACGTCACGAGCCGGGTCTAGTTCTTGGCGCGGAGTGACCTTGACGACCTGGCGGTCACGGGTCATCAGAGTTTTCCACATTTAGTAATTCTCACAGGTCAAATAACCATTTTGTAATCGGAAGTAGCTCTTCCCTAAGATGCCTGTTCAATTACCTTCAGTTTAAAAGAGTTCAGCCATCTGGGTCAGTCAATGCAACAGAGATTAGTTGTTTAACTTAAAACCTTGCTAGTAAACTTAGTGAACCTTGTATAGGAATACCCCCCCCCCCCCCAGCTTGTGGTGAGAGGGAGGCAGAAATCAGTGTGGACCGGTCATCAACTGGGAGAGGTACCCCATCTCCACCTCTCCCCAAGGTCAGCATTCCACCGAGCTGGTTGCATAAAGTGGTATAGTTGCTATAGTTTGGTATAAGAAATTAGTTCATCTCATGCCTTAAGTCAGGGAGTGTTAATGATAGGGAGTGCTTTAATTTAGATTTTGTTTTAGATTTTGAATAAATTATTTAGATAGTAATTTGCTTTTTTATTATTTCCATTTCATGTCCCCATTGTCTCATGTCCTTGTCACGTGGTCCCCACGAGGCCGAGTTTTCGTTGGGCCGCAAAAGCCTAATACAGACTAAGAGTTCAGTTATCCCTTTGCTTGTTAATATTACCCACACTTAACGTAGATTCTTCCCTCCTATTCCAAATAACTGGGGATCAAGCCCCAAGGTTCTTTGAGAGCATAAACGGTCCAGACCTCGGTTATTGCTCCCAGTGTTAATGGTCTGATGGTGGCGGCGTAAGGAGATTCTAGAGTTTGCTAGGGGTCTAGTTCCACGCCGTAAGGCTGTAGAATCTTAGCCGGTCAACGGCTTAAGACCATGTGGCGTGGGATTCGGCTTAGATTTGTAGGGCTGGGGTCCCTTAGATTGAAGAGGAATAAATCAGAATACGGGTAGAGGTAAGGGGTAAAGGAGAAAGAGAGAGTCGATACCCCCCCCCCCATGTTACATCGTCCTCCCCACCATTCCCCACTTCCTTGTCCAAAGTATTCCCAAATTATCTGATGTTCCCATCAGAAAAATGGAAACATCAAATTATCTGATGTTCCCATCAATGAAAAATAAGTATAACAGTTAAAAAGAAACGAAATGAAAAACAATGAAAAAAATAAATAAAAATAAACAATAATCACAAAATGAACAGTATGGTAAACAACACAGCTGAATTCCAATGCAATGTTACACAAAATAATTATATCAAAATGAAAATAAATCGAAATCAATGAAAATTCAATTTATCAATGTAATTGGAAACACTGTAATAAAATCGTAACCTATTTATTATAGAGTGTGTTGCTATTACGTGTAACAGATGGAGCTGTTTACAAAAAAAAAACATGTTTTTCCCTGTACCAGGTGAGGCATCTATATTGTAGGCATATAAAAACGCGCTTATTCGAATGGAATGTTGTGTCAAAATTTCAAAGCAATCGGTGAAGAACTTTCAGAGATTAGCGATTTTAAACAAACGAACATTTACATTTTTTATATATACTAGCTGTACCCGGCCACACTTTGCTGTGGCTCAGCACCGCATGTGCGTTGCTGAGCCACAGCAACCTTCCCCTGTCTCCCAGGGGACAGGGGAAGAGACACCATTCCCCCCCTTTTCCCCTCGTCCTCCCAACCATTCCTCACTCCCTTGTTCCTTTTTCCTTCCCTTCATCCTCCACTTCAACACCCCCTCGACCTCCTAACCATTCCCCACTCCACCATCCCCTTGTCCTCCCCACTATCTCCTACTCCCCCATCCCCTCGTCTTCCCTACCATTCCCGCACCTCCCCTGTCCCCTCATCCTCCCCACTATCCCCCACTCCCCTATCATCTTGTCCTCCTAACAATTCTCCACTCCCCTCGTCCCCACCATCCCCAACTCCCCTGTCCCCTCGTCCTTCCCACCATTCCCCACTCCCTTGTTTGTTGATCAAATGATCTGATATTCTCATCAGAAAATTGGGAACATCAAATGATCAGGGCTAGATTCACGAAAAAGTTACGCAAACACTTACGAACATGTACATCTTTTCACAATCTTTGGCAGCTTTCTTTACAATTATTTAACAGTTAATGAGCACCAAAGCACCAGGAGGCTATTTATAGCAATAACAACATTTGATTGGCAAGTTTTCCTGCTTGTAAACTGTTTATCAAATGTAACCAAAATCATAAAAGATTGAGGAAAGATATAAACGTTCGTAAGGACTTGCATAACTGCTTCGTGAATCAGGCCCCAGATATTCCCATCACTGAAATATAAGAAAACCCGTTCAAAAAGCGAAATGAAAAAAATTGAAAAAATAAACAAATAAACTATACTCACGAAATGAACAGTATGGTAAACAACACAGCTCAATTCCAAGGCAATGTCACACAAAATAATTAAATCAAAATTAAAATAAATCAAAATTTATGAAAATTCACTTTATCAATTAAATCGGAAACACTGAAATGGAATCGTAACATATTTAGTATAGCATGTGTTGGTCTTATATGCAACAGATGGCACTGTTTTTCAAAAACTGCATGTTTTTACCTGTCACAAAGGTGGCATCTATATAGTAAGTAAATAAAAACACGCGGGTATTCGAACGGAACGTTGTGTCAAAATTTCAAAGCAATCGGTAAAGAGGTTTCGAAGATTTCCATCACATGAAAAACACAGTAAAAAAAAAATGTTTTTTTACCATCACAGACGTGACATCTATATAGTATATATATATATATATATATATATATATATATATATATATATATATATATATATATATATATATATATATATATATATATATATATATATATATAAACCTGCTCGGTTGCGAATGGAATGTTGTGTAAAAATTTCAAAGCAATCAATGAAGAACTTTCGGAGATTAGTAATTATGAACAAACGAACATTTACATATTTTTTTATATAGATAGACTAGCTGTACCCAGCCACACATTGTTGTGGCTCAGCAATGCATGTGAGTTGCTCAGCCACAGTAACCTCCCACTATCTACCAATCCTTCCCACCATTCCCCCCTCACCCATCCCCTCATCCTCCCATCCATTCCCCATTCCCCACTGTCCCCTCGTCCTCCCCACAATCACCCCTCCCCTGTCCCTTTGTCCTCCCCACCCTCCCATCGTCTTCCTAACCATTCCCCACTCCAAAATCCCCTCGTCCTCCCCACCATATCCTACTCCCCCCGTCCCCTCATTCTCCCTTCCATTCCCCCTCCCCCGTCCCCTCGTCCTCGTCACTATACCCCACTCCTCTGTCCCCTTGTCCTCCCCACCATTCTCCATTCCCCCGTCCCCTCGTCCCCACCATCCCGTCTCCATGTCCTCCTCACCATTAACCCTTCTCTTGTCCCCTCGTCCTCCTCACCATCCCCCACTCCCGTCCCCCTCCAACTCCCCACTATTTCCCACTCACTCGTCCGATGCATTCCGAAATGATCTGATGTTCCCATCATAAAATTGGGAACATCAAATGATCTGATATTCCCATCACTGAAAAATAAGAAAAACAGTTAAAAAACGAAATGAAAAGCAATGAAAAAATAAAAAAATCAACTATACTTACAAAACGAATGGAATGGTAAACAACACAGCTAAATTCCAGTGTAATGTCACACATGAAAATTCAATTTATTAACGAAATCGGAAACATTGAAATGGAATTGTAACATATTTAGTATAGCGTGTGTTGCTCTTATGTGCAACAGATGGCGCTGCTATTAAAAAAAAGCATGTCTGTATATATATATATATATATATATATATATATATATATATATATATATATATA